TGAAGATGCCGGTCACAGGTGCTGGCGAAACGTTAGGAAACAAAACTTCCAGAACACGGCCGTGCAGCCCGGAAGACCCACACCAGCCATTGTATGCTGGCCGTGAAAGCCTTCGACAAATCTATAGCAAATTCCTAAAGATATCTTCTCCTCAGCTTTTACACCAAACTAACCCCAAAAATTAAAATAGGCCTTGGAAGCCTTAAAAACATATTGCTTTTACTATTGCTGCTGCTGCAGGAAATTGGAGCAGATAATCCAAGACAATTATTTTACACATCATAATACAATTAGTACAACTAGACAATTAGTACAAACGTAGCATCCAACTTTATCTAAACAGCCTAGAAAAGAAGAGTTAGATGTCCACAACGTGACTAATCCTGGTTAAAACCCAAGTGCTGTTTTTGAATAATATGTACAAATAAATAAGCCATTTTAAGGCTGAATGGGATTATCAGGTTCCCAAACATGGTGAGACATCGCTGAGTTCCCATAACAGGCTGAATTCATTTTAGCTTATGATAGCACAGAGCGCAAATCTAATGTGGACGTTTGCAACGCACAACATTCCTTTCTTGCAATGGCCTTGCATCTTTTCCTTTCAAAGAGAACATGCAGAGCCAGGCCACTGGTGGACCCAGCTTCCTTCCTGTTACCGTACACTTGCAGTCCAACCCCATCCAGTCCTTCACAGTATGTTCAACTGATTGCTCCCCCCACCCGCAAAATCCTGCAAACGGGCTTTACAGATCCATTGGGAAATTAAAGAGAGCATGTTTGCAAAGGGGAGACCTCGACCTTTGCAAAAATGCCCATCGCCCTAAAGCAACAGTATGTAGCTGAATTCATTCAGATGTCTATCATTCTTTTGCTCCAAGACTGTAAATTTAATAAATAAATGTGTGCATCCACCATGGAACTTTCTAGACCAGTGTTTCTCAACCTTGGCCACTTTACGACACTTGCTGGCTGGGGAATTCTGGGAGTTGAAGTCCACACGTCGTAAAGTGGCCAAGGTTGAGAAACACCAGTCTAGACCTTGTTTGAAACAAGCACCGAACTGGCACTTCTATTCATGCTAGGAAAAGAGGCAGAGAGTTCAAAGAATCCACCCGCGCTTCCTTTATCTAAAGTTGGCAGGCCAAGGGGGACCTCCAGAGCAGCATCTCTGTTCAAACAAAGGTCTTCCAGCTGCCTTCAGGAAGCCCCAAAGCAGAACCCTTAGCAACAGCCTTCCTCCCTCGCAAAGGCAGAGCATCCAGTGCTGGAAGGGAAAGGGCACCTCAGAGAAATGCTGAGCAACGCTAAGTGACGGCCCCTTAAAGCTGCTGAGCTCAGGAGCCGTCTGCAGAGAAAAATCACCCCC